GGGCAGGGCAGGGCAGGCTGTTACATGAGCTAGACATGTTGGTCCTGTTTCGGTATCACACGGTTGTTAAGTCCAACTTCAAGCAGTCTGACTAGTGCTCGGCACCGTCACCTGGTGAACACCCACAGCTAGTATAAGGTCACTGTTACAGTTACTCCAATGGTAGTCAAAGGACTTCTTTGCGCCTGTCGAAAATTTGCCTTCACCGAAGTGGTGACCATACTTCAGTAAACTTCAGATATTTGTTCACCGTTGCATTGGTTCGGCCCGTCAATCCACACCAGTCATGTCTGGCACATACCCGCGCTTAACAACCACAAAACAACTGGATCATACAAAAAATGGTCTCGACTGTAAAGACCACTCTCCCTTACAATGTTCTCAAAATAATGAGTACCCACAAAACCATCACAAGCAATCGCATACCATTTCTCCGTCACAGATCTCATCACCATAATGCAAACACACGTCAGCCCTGTGAGGTCCAAAACGCACGGCCTACGTTCAAGAAGAAAAAAACAACAACACAGGAGCTAGCTTCTTGAGTCACGGCGGACTATCAGAGCTGGCGTGAAGCGAACGCCGCTCAGGAGAGCGTGCCTCACGAATACGCGGACGGCCGCACAAGTGACGCCCTTGGCGTAAAGACGCGCTGGACATGGCGCTCGCGCCCGGGTAACGACATTGACTATTTGCTGCGTCTAGCCACGATCCACTGGCCAACCAGTCAATCAATGGATCATCAATGGAAATACGATCAATGTCCGTGGTGATTGGTTTAGAATCCAGCGTGATGCGCCCCACATCAAATCGTCCTGTCTCTGACATGGACATGGGCAAAGAGCCCGGCCCCTGGCGGGGTGACACGTTAGTCGCCCCAACACGCCGCGACACTGACCTGTACATGGGCAGCGAGCCGGGCCCCTGGCGGGGGTGGTAGGCCTGGTAGTTGGGCCGGTTGTAGCCGCCCGTGTTGGCCGCCTTCTTCTCGAGCTCGTAGCTGCGCTTGGCCAGTCGCTTCTCTGCCTGAGTCAGCCGCTTGTCCTGTCGGTCCACCAGCTGGGCGTCGTGCTCGAACGGCTCCTGCCGACCGCCGCGGGGGGAGCGCCCGTCAGCACATGCGTCCTCCGCACGCGCGGCCCGAGATACCGCAGACAGGAAAAAAAGATACCAAAGCAGCGCACGCATGCCATCCAGCGGCACACTACTCACAAACCGAGCCGCACAATGGCACGCACGTGCTGCATCACGCAGGGCTAGTGGCTCATACCGTGAAGCACAATGTGGCGGCAAGCTGGGTCACCCAATAGTAGGCCGAGGGTCAGGGGTCCGCGTCCCACCGGGACAGTTAGTGTGTATCGGCCGACCCAAACACTGGCCACTTGTCGTCGCGTGGCGTAAACATCGCAGGGCGGAGAAAGGACCTAAAAGTAGCCAAAACCACGCGCACTTACAAAATCACCGACGAAAACCCATCTAGTGTGACATGGCAGACAATGGCGTGTTTCGCAGTGATTCGCTCCGATGAGCGGAAATTGTTGACTGAAATGCGAGCGCTAATTACCAAAGGGCGGCGCTACCTCCCGTCTCGCACGAAGGCTGCAGTGTGGAGCGCGTTGCGGAATCTTATCGGTTCCAAACATACGCTACTTTTTCGTTTTTCCGCTTGCACTGCCACCAAACACTGCGCAGGAAAAGTCGCCAGCAATTCAAGCATACGCGGTGACGTATGGCATCTGTAACCTTAGAAGAGAATGTAACGTTGTAAACGTTACCAAACCCGTAAATTCGATTCCAATCGGTATTCGACCCACACCCTTAACGCGTATAGCAAAACGACCCACGTCAGCCTCCGGCAAGGTCATTCATGCCACCTAATTCCGACGACCCGTATGAACCTGCCAGAAATCTGACCCAAGATCTTCCTCGACTCAAGCAGACGGATGCCAAAGCGATAACCTTTCAGCGGGCATCCCTTTCCAGAGCACCAGTACCATAAACTTGCTTCCGCCCGGGTTCGAACCGGGGACCTTCCGCGTGTAAAGCGGACGTGATAACCACTACACTACAGAAGCCCGGCAGACAGACTGCATGGCAGACATACGGCGGCCGGGCGCGCGCGTATGGCAGACATACGGCGGGCCGGGTGCGCGCGCGCGCGGAGTCCCACCTGGAGAACAGGTGGCCAAGCCGCTCGATGACGGTGAGCAGAACCGGGTCGTCGTACTTGTCCGGATCGGGCGAGATGGCGGCCGGCGGCGGGTCATCCTCATTTGGGTCCAACAGCCGGTTCAGGTTCTGCGTGGTGACCTGCAGGTTGGGCCAGCAGCGTCTCAGTCGGGCGGTGCAGCACTCAGCGGGGGTTCGTGGCGGCTCCGGCATCTGACCCGGGTCACGCGTGTACGGTGGAGACGGACTGTAGCCGAGTCGTCGCTCCAGATTGGGCGTGTCAGGCTTTCAAAGCAGGCTGCAGGATGTGAACTTTTTACCACACAGAGTCAAGACCTGAGGACCTCCTGTCCTACACGTACAGAATGCCGCTCAAAACCGCGTACAAGTACGACACCCTCCAAACGCACCACGCCTCAGCTAGTGACTGTTCCTAACTGTGTCAGCATTCACTCCCAAGTACAACACTCCCCAAACACACCATGCCACCTCTGCTGACCATTCCTGACTGTGTCTGCGTTCACTCCCATCTACACTGCAGACGACACGTGCAGCCGCACTGCACTGCCGACTTGTCCCCGTCGGCGAGCACCTGTCTCGAGCATCTGTGACCTGGATAGGCCCAGGCTGGAGGCCGGCGCCGGCCGGCAGCGTACCATGTTATCCGGGTTGGTCTCGTCAACGATCCTGTTGGACATGGACTGCTTCTTGAGCTGGCGGTCGTAGATGCGCCGCTCGAGGCAGTTGTCCGTCACCAGCCGGTAGATGAAGCACTGCTTCTGCTGGCCGAACCTGGCGGCGGGGAGGGGCGACAGAGGTCAGGGCGGCACCCGGCGGCGGCGGCCACTTCAGACGAGCGGAGCGACACGCGCGGACCCGAGCGGCAGCCCGCGTGTCTCACACGACACTGGCCGGCTGCCCTCGGAAAGACACTCCGCCGTGACGTCCCTGGTATGCTACTGTCGAAGAACCACAACACATACCACAACTGGGGAAGTATGCTTGCAAACGCAAACAATTACAAGCAGACACATAGAGAGGTCACGAGTTACGTGAATGAGAGAGGAATTTATCAGGCATTCACCACCAGAACGAAGACAGAACGCACGAATAACCAAGCCAATTCAATCTTGACAAATCCCAAGTCAACAGCTTCCAAAGGTATTTGAGTCGACACATTCAGACCACAGCCAACAGCGCGATCTTGCAGCCTCACACCCAGCCCGCGGCCACCTGCAGCCCCATAGCCAGCCCGCGGGCTACACGCAACCCCACAGCCAGCCCGCGGCCACCTGCAGCCCCATAGCCAGCCCGCGGGCCACACACAGCTCCACAGTCAGCCCGCGGGCTACATGCAGCCCCACAGCCAGCCCGCGGGCTACACGCAACCCCACAGCCAGCCCGCGGGTCACACGCAGCCCCACAGCCAGCCCGCGGGCCACACGCAGTCCCACAGCCAGCCCGCGGGCCACACGCAACCCCGCAGCCAGCCCGCAGGTCACACACAGCCCCACAGCCAGCCCGCGGCCACCTGCAGCCCCACAGCCAGCCCGCGGGCCACACGCAGCTCCACAGCCGGCCCGCGGGCCACACTCAGCCCCACAGCCAGCCCGAGACCGCCCCTGACCTGTAGACCCTGCAGACGGCCTGCGTGTCGTGGCAGGGGTTCCAGGAGGCGTCAAACACCAGCACGCGGTTGGCGCCCACCAGGTTGACACCCAGGCTGCCGGCGCGCGTCGACACGAGGAACAGCGGCACGGCCGGGTTGGCGTTGAACTCGCTGATGAGCTTCTCGCGCTCCAGGCCGGTGGTGGAGCCGTCCAGACCTGGCCATCACACCGCACGGATAAGCACGCCCGCCCGCTGGCCACGGCGGAGCGGTATGGCAGCGGCGGCGGCGGATGAAGATGGCGATACACCGGTCACAGCGGGGACGGTGGGAGCGCCCAGGCCCGCCAGGCACGCGGCACATCCGAACCCAACGAGCAGAGCGGCGCTGATGAAGCCGGAGAGGACTGCGGAGCGCACAACAAACTCGGCCGCGCCTAGCAGGACGTCCGTGAAGCCGTCAAAACCTGCAACCAGTGATGCGGAGGCGACCGGAGACGCAGGGCACAAGAATACACACGGAGAGGCGTACACTGTGGGTAAATCACCATCAGGAGCTGTCGTCGCGTCATGGCAAGGCAGCCCCACGATACAGATGCCGCCAACGTAAACTGGCACCTCGGAGAGCAAACGTGGCACGCGGAACATACGGCGACACTGCTGTGAAGCTATGGGACACCTACCATTGCCAAGGCCGCACCATTGACTCTGACTCCTTGATTTTCAAAAGCCAGATGAGTGCAGCGGGAGAGAGGCAGTGGCCGAGGCCAGGCGAGCGGCCGGCGGCGTCCGTCCGCCCGACTCACGGAAGTAGGTGTGGTTCAGCATCCACTTGTCATTGCGGCCCGGCACCAGCGTCTGCTGCAGGAACTCCTCGATGATGTTGAGCGTGAACAGGGACTGGCTGAACAGCAGCATCTTGTCGCCCTGCCGGACCGTCTCCTCCAGCAGCACTTTGAACACCATCATCTTGGTGGAGTTCTCTATCTGGCCGGGAATGTAGCCCTGCATCATGTCCTGGGCCTGCAAACCGCACGAATTCAGTCACTCATTTGGCAGTCAGGGCCCAACAGAGCCATAGCCAGAACGCAACAGTTCGGAAAGATAATAAAAAACTGCATGAACCCAACAACGGAAGCAGCTAAAATGTTCTACACGAACAGATGCTTGACTAAACGACTTCGTGACGCTACATTCTCCAACACCACAGCGGTGCCCCAGACCACGCTCACCCAGTCGTAGTTGATGAAGCCGTCCTCCTTGGGCGCCTTCTCGAACGGGTTCGAGTCGAGTGGCATCTGTGAGGGGGGACCGGCGGGACCAGCGGGTCCAGCCGGTCCAGCGGCCGGCGGCGCCGCAGCTGGTCGGCGGCCGCGGCCCGGCGTGCCGCTGCTGTCGTTCGTCTCGTCCAGGTCCAGGTCGTCGTCCGCCATTTTCTTCTTCAGCAGGTTGTACAGGATGTCCGGGTGGTTCCAAATCTGAAGCAGAGTGTGCGGGATGTCCAGGTGGCTCCATATCTGAACTATGGTGTGCGGGACATCCAGGTAGTTCCAGATCGGAAGTACTTTAGTCTGAGTCGCGAGACATGATGCTAGGCGGTCAGCACGTTGGTGGAAGTGCTTGAGTGGACACGTGCTCAATGCGAAGTACATGCTTTTCTGCAGGCCATACACAGTGTACGGGTCGACACACATTCGAGGCCCAACTGGGACTAAGCTCCAGTAATCATAGCCAGATGACAACGTAATGCAGATCACTGCCTAGAGGGAGATGCACGCCATTTAACATGGTGCACATGTCTGGGTGAATGCAAGTTCATCTACAGTCCAAGTGGAACCCATCAAGTCACGTGATTACATGATGGGACGATGGTACACAGCAGCAGACTGATAAAGATGGTACACCAAGTAGCAGATTTTCACTGCAACAACACCATCCTGCATAGAGCTGCAACAGGCTCTAAACCGAGACAGTGGTGCGACGCTGGTCTGGGAGGCGCAACGCCCCACCCACCGCGCCTGGCGCGTCTTCATCTACACCTCCTCTCCCCGCCCCCACCACCAGCACGCCGTCTGGGGGTGGCCGCGATCGGCGCCCATTCGGCCGCCCCGGCGCTGCGTACACGGACACACAGAGACTGCGCGCCGCACGCGTACCTTGCAGCTGACAACGAAGGCGCGCAGCGGGTTGGGCGAGTGGCCGTTGCGCGAGGTCAGGTCGAGTATGTAGCGCTGGTAGAGGGCGCGCTGCAGCGGGGTCATGCGCAGCAGGCACACGTACTCCTCCTTCTTGGGCAGCGTCGCCTGCAGGATCGCGTGGCTTCGCCTGAAACGCCGCACAAACACGTCATGGGGCCGATCCAAGTGATGATGACTGAGTACCTGGCCCGACTGAGAACGAGTCCCGAAAATGATCTGTTCAAATAATTCACGTATCAATACCTTCTGAAACTACTCTGCACTCAAGGCCCGGACGAGGAGATGCGAACATGAGCCGGCCAGACAGGCCAAGGCAGACAGGCGGTCAGGCGAGTTAGGGGTGTGCGCATAAGTTCGCAATAATGCCGCCGGAGTGGCCGGCAATATCGCGGCAAAATAGGTAAAATCGGCAATGTCGCGGCGATATCGCGATTCAAACAATCAACATCCCGGAAATGTGAGCCCCAAGGCCAATGCAAAGGGCGCAGGTAGCTAGCACGTCCAGCGAGACGGCAAGAGCGAAACGAACGCACCAGGTAAGATCCTCCATTGCTAGTGATTGCGAGCAAACCTGATCTCCCACACATAAATCTCTGCATATCATTCGCCAGATGACCGCAGCATAATATCCATTCAGCGCCCGTCAGCGCGGCAGCAGTCGGCGTAGGAGCTCGAGCGCCAGCTGCCGCTCGGGTGGAACAGACTGGCCGGAGCCAGCGAGCCCAGCGGGCCGGGGCACCGACTGACCTCTGCACCAGACCCTCCAGCAGCGAGTGCAGCACGTGCGCCCGGAACCGCATCAGACGGATGTCTGACGGCGTCGAGTCCACGCACTGGCCGTTGGAGATGGGCCGCTCGAACATGTTGTTGAACTCGGCCTTGGTGCCGAGGAAGTTGGGCCGCACAAAGTCCACCATGCACCTGGCGGCGGCGCGAAGGCGGGGTCATCGCCAGCCCGGCCTGCATCCCGCCGATGACGCCCGCGGCCGCACCGCCGGCGCCGTCCGCCGACCGAAGCCGGACACGGACAGAGGCCGACACGCCGAGACGACGGCCGCCCGGCACGTCTGCCTCCCGGCCTCGCCCCACCAGCGGGCGGCTCGTCCCGCGGCCGCCGCAGCGCCGCCACTCACCAGTACTCGACCAGGCAGTTCTGCAGCGGGTAGCCGGTGAGTGCCAGCCGGCGACGCGTGCGGATGCTCTTCAGCGCCTGCGAGATGCTGGCACCGGCGTTCTTGATGCGGTGCCCCTCGTCGCAGATCACCAGGTCGGGGCCCGGTCGCGTGATGGCCACCTTGATGCCTGTGGAGTGGGCGGGTCAGAGTCCCGCTCACGGCGAGTACCTGCCAGGTGCGCGCACTCGACTCATCCGGTGCCCTTGCTATGCGTGAGGTGGTAAAGGAGTGCACGTCTTCCAATGTGAGTTGTGTGATACATTCAAAAATTAAATACGTCCACGCTGCCAGGGAGCTCCTGGCCGTATCGTTGGCGTCAGCTTTAGCCATACGCGGCAAATAGACGCTAGCACCCTAACCTGTGCGCAAGGCGCCTTTGCCCCCCCCCCCCCTCCCCCACAGACGTCGCCTACACATCGGCGGTCATATCCGGACGCGGGCCGGGGCTCCACCTCCGGACGGTTACGGAACAGTCCCGTCGGTCAGCCGGACCCGCCCGTCGGCCGTCGGCCGCCACTCACCGTCCAGCAGGCGCTTCTCGCGCGCCTCGGCCTCCAGGTCGTCCGAGCCGTCCTTGCGCTTCTTCTTGCGGGCGGCGCGCGAAGAGCTGATGTTGAGCAGCCGGTACAGCTCGTAGCCAATCAGCAGCACGCCTCCCTCCTGGTACCAGTCAGCAATCACCTGCGGCGGCGCGCGACGTGTCAGCACCGCCTCCGGACCGGCACCGGCCGACGCCGTCAGAGCGAGCGGACCGCGCCGGCCGTCCAGCGGCTCCATCCGACAGCGGCCGGCCGAGCGAGCGGTGGTCAGAGTGGGCGAACCGCGCCGGCCGGCCGTCCAGCGGCCCCATCTGACAGCGGCCGGCAGGGCGAGTGGCAGTCAGAGCGGGCGGACCGCGTCAGCCGGCCGTCCAACGGCTCCATCCGACAGCGGCCGGCAGGGCGAGCGGCAGTCAGGGCGGGCAGACCGCGCCGGCCGTCCAGCGGCTCCATCCGACAGTGGCCGGCCGAGCGAGCGGCAGTCAGAGCGGGCGGACCGGTGAGCCGAGACCACGGCCGCCGGGAGGTCACCTCGCAGCGGCGTCCGCCACCGGCGCACCCAGTCGCTGAGGCAAGACGCGCTGGATCGCTAATCTGAGAGCGGCGATAAGACATGCTCGGCCATCGCTCCCGGGACGACGCCTGACCAGACCAACAGACTGGTCAGAGGAGCGGCCTGCCGCCGCGGCCGGATCACCCCGGCGGTCTGCAGCCCGTCAGCCTCGCACCACGCCCTCGGCCGGCTACCAGGGCGCCCTCACACACGGCAGCGCGGTCTCACCTTGGCGCGCGCCTGTAGCGTACGGTGGCTGTCGTTCAGCATGCTGACGGAGAAGTGGCGCGGCCGCACCTCGCCGCCCTGCGCCAGCGGCGAGTACGTGTTGGCGTCCGGCAGCCAGTAATTGAACTCGTTCAACCAGTTCTGGATGGTGTTGATGGGCACGATGATGAGCACGGTCCGGTGGCCGGTGTGGCGCAGAAAGATGTCCGAGAACGTGACCGTCTGCGGAGGCGGAGCGGCCGGCCGTCAGCGACGCCGGGTACACGCGTGGCTCACACACACATGCACACCCTCCCGACAGGCCGCCCCTGTCATTCAGCCCCCAGTCGCGATTATCGAGCGCCGGTTGATCGACATCCCAGCCGGCTTAACGCAGCCGATTGTTGAGTGTTCTTTATTGCAGGACCTCCGGGCAGTCGGCGCCGACCACGCAAAGGCTTGACGAGACAACTCCCTAAACAGGTATACTTGCATGGCCGAACTAATACAAGTACTAGACAAGTCTGTTCCTTCCATTTATTTGCAAAAGCCCGTCTGTTCTTGGCTGAATGGCAGTGGATTGGTTGCAACATAGTCGTGTCACAGGCATTCATTGGATAATCTGTTCAACTGATACAGCTGCTGTAACATATGTTCACAAGATTCTATGAGCTCAGTTCGTCTTGTCTTTGCCTCATGGACAGTCTTTTCCTGAAACCCACTCATTTCCCGGCGCAAAAGGTGATACTGACTTACCTGCATGGTTTTGCCCAGCCCCATAGAGTGGGCCAGTATACAGCCGAAGCCCTGGGTGGTCTTGCATCGCTCCTGAGACTCGATAACATTGTCGTACAGAAACCGAACACCACCGATCTGCGGGGCGCCAAACGACACGATACGCATGAGTCACTGCCGTGACGAAGTGGCGGCGCGGCAACGGCACGCGCGTGACACCAATACCTACTGAATCCCTTAAAATTCATGGTCGTCATGTTTATATCCCCTAACACGTGCAGCGGAAACAAACAAAATGTCCTAGTCACGAACGAATCACACAAAAATTGTTTAAGCAAACTCTCGTCTCCACGAAACAAAAAGACATTGGGAAACAACGAAGACAACACCTCGCCAGCGGCACACTAGCCTGCCTGCCGCTGCTGGGCACTTCCCAGCATCGCCGCGCGCGCCACGCGCGGGCGCGTCTCGACACGGGGCTGGTCGCTGACCTGGTGCGGCTTGATGTTGCGCGCGATCTGCGGAGCGATGAAGATGTCCATCTCGGCCGGCGGGTGGCCCACGTTGACGAGCACGCGGCCCAGCGAGTCGGGCACGTTGCACGTGTCGTCGGTATGCGAGCCCGAGTTGTTGGTGTCCTCGGAGGGACCCTCGTCCTTCTCCTCCTCGCCCGAGCTCAGCAGCTGGATGTCGTCGTCGCTCGTCTCGCCGCCGCCACCGCCGCCGCCAGCCGAGTCTGCCGCCGCCAGCACAGCGCCCCGGTCAGCACAGCGCCCCGATCTGCTCGGCGCTTCGTCCAACACAGCACCCCGGTCCGCACAGAGCCCAGCCAGCACAGCGTCCCGGTCAGCACAGCGTCGCGATCAGCGCAGCGTCGCGATCAGCATGGGGTCGCGGCCAGCACAGCGCCCAGTCGGCAGCGTGTCCGCCCGCCCACCCGCCACACGACAGCACCATGACCGAGGTCATAGCGTCAACGCCAGAGATGAAGACAGACGAACAAAACCATCCATGGCACAGTCTGAAGAGCATTTACAGACGAGGTCGACCGTTGAAATCTTACGAAAAAGGTGACGTCAAATCATCAACCCAAACTCAGTTCGCCTAAGGACGTTCGTTTCCGGCCTGCCAAGGAGCAACGATAATAGGGATAGTTTTACCCAAATGAAATGAACTGAAGAAAACATTGTTATATCCCCTACGCCTTCATGAGCGTACATCTGACCCTGGGCCACGACATGTTACTTACACTAGCCCACCCACATACCTTTGGCCTTGGCCTGCAGCTTGTCGTGGTCGGCCCTGGCCTTGGCCTGGTCGTGTTTCTCCTCGTCGCTAGAGAGCACAATCACGTCCGAGTCGTTGCCGGGCAGCTCCTTGCGCTCCTCGGCCTCGCGCTCGGCTCGCTCCTCTTCCTCGCGCTGCTTCTCAGCCATTACGCGCTCTTGCTCCTTCTTGAACTGCTCGAACCACTTCTTCTGCTCGGCCAGGCGCAGCTGGCGCTCCTTCTCCTCCTCCTGCGCGCGCAGCGTCTCCGAGTCCAGCTTCTCCTCGGTGATTATCTGGCGGATGTTGCGCCGCTTGTTACGCGGGCCGGCGTCGTCGTCGTTCTTGTCGCCGCCGCTCTCGGCGCGCTTCTTCTTGCGTTTGCGGCCCTTCTTCTTGCGCCTCTTGGGCTTGGGACTCTCGGGCGCGTCGCCCTCCTGCTCAGACTCGTCACCATCGCCGTCGCTGGCCTCGCGCCGGCCCGACTCCGACTCGGTCTCGCTGGCGTCGCTGTCGTCGGACGAGTCGGGCTCGTCGCCGCCGTCGGCGTCGTCCGGCTCGCTGCCACTACCGTTCAGCAGGTCCGGTTTCTCCTCCAGCATGCTGAGCATGTCCTTGACCTCGGAGAGGTCCTCAGCTGTGCCGTCCACCTCGCCCTGCATCAGCTCTGAGTCGAGCACAGCGCCACTGATCAGCTGACTGATCTCGGCCTTGATCGAGTCGTCGAGCGTCTCGGTGGCCACAGCGCCCGACTCGGTCTTAACTAGCGCGCTCGGCTCGCCGGCCGCGCCGGTCGCCTCCTCCTCCGCCTGACCCTTGCCCACCGGTTCTCGCTTCACGCCGCACTTGTCCCCAGGCGAGCTGGGCGCCGGTTCGGTCTGGTTGGCGCCTCCCGCCGCCGCCATCGACGTCGACGTCGAAGAGTCGCCGCCGTCCCGCTCGTCCGCGGAGAGATCCGACGCGCCGTCCCAGCCGGCGACTGAAGTCGAGCTTTGTTCTCCCGGCTGGTCACGCGCGTCGTCTTTTGCGGACGGCGCGCCCTCAGCCGGGCGCCACTCGTCATCTCCCAGGTGAGGGTCGCCCTCTTCCAGGCGAGAGTCGCCTTCTTCCAGGCGAGACTCGTCCTCTTCCACACGCGAATCGCCATCTTCAAGGCGAGAATCGCCACCCTCCAAACGTGATTCGTCTCCTCCGCGACGCGACTCATCCTCCTCTTCTTGCAATTCGTTTACTTCGGGGCGCGAATCACCCTCCTCCACACATGACTCTTCTTCCGGGTGTGGTCCATCATCAGGGCGCGACTCTTCCCCCCAGCGGGTCTCGTCCGGGCGCGACTCGTCCCCTTCCAGGCGTGACTCATTCTCCGAGCGCGGCACATCATCAGCCAGTGCATATCCGTCGTCCCCCATATGGGAGTCCTCTTCATCCAGCCTGGACTCGTCCTCCCAGGCTGACCCCTCTCGCTCACAGCGTGAGTCCTCCTCCTCAGATCGCGATTCGCCCTCCTCCGGGCGAGATCTGCCTTGCGCAGAGGTGGCCGTCGGCGCGCTCACCCTGCCGGCGGCGGAAGTCGGCTGCGCTGCCGGCGGGGCCGACTGGCGCCGGAACATAGCCATCGCCTCCTGTAGGGTGAGCTGGCGCGGCTGGTCGGCCGGCGCCGACTGCACGCTGGCGTCACCCGAGCCGTGCCGGCCGCCGTCGGCCGAGCGGCTGTCGGCAGCGTCTGACTCAGCCTCCTCCTCCTGCTCGGATTCCGACAGCGGCACGGCCGCGATGCCGGGCGGCAGGCGGACGCCGAGCGCGCGCGCCGGCTCCCGCGGCGCCGGCAGCTCGGACGGCTCTTGGACGGGCACGGCGCGGATGCCGGGCGGTAGGCGCGGTAGGCTGGCAGGCGGCGGCACCGGCACGGCCCGTATGCCGGCCGGCAGGGAGACCGGCAGCGCAGCCCGGGGCGCCGCTGTGCCGCGACCGTCGCCCGTCTCGCTGACGGTGTCGTGCGGGCCGCCCTGAAGCACGGCAGCGGCGGCGGCGGCGGCGGCGGCGAATGGACGGTCACCAGCGCCAGCCTGGCCCGGCTCGGCAGCACCGTCCGCTGACCACGGCCAGCGGGCCTCGCCGTCCTCCAGACCGTCGTCGTCCAGCCCGTCATCGTCGAACCCGTCGTCCTCCAGTCCGTCGTCCGCCAGCCCGCCGTCCTCCCATTCCGTCCTCGTCGAGTCCGTCCTCGTCGTCGCGCAGAAGAGCGTCCTCATCCTCCTCGGTCGTCCTCGGCGGTTTGCTGGCCTCCGCAGCCGGCGCCACCGGCGGAGCGGACGCCGGTGACGCCGGGATGGACAACGACGCTGGAGTGGTAGACACCGAGGGTGACGGCGGCACCGAGGCGGGTGCCGGACGCGCGGGTGCCGGCGGCGGGGCGACAGGCGCCTCCTCCCGCCGGACGGCAGCAGCAGGCGCAATGTCGGCCGGCAGCGTTACAGGGGCAGACGTCGGCGCCGAGCGAGCAGTCGCCGATGCCGCACCAGCGGACGTGGGCGACTGAGGCACGGAGGCCGGCGCCGGGCGCACAGCCGCCGGCACAGACTGCCGCGGCGGCGGGCGCTGCGGTGCGGGCTCCGGCTTCTGCGCCGCCGCGGCGCTGGCGGCCTGCTGCCTGCACAGCGCCATAGCCTCCTGCAGTGTGAGACTGCGCGGCTCGGCCCTGTCCGCCTCACTTGCTGACCCGGTCTCACCGACCGAGTCGGCCGCCACGGCCCGCCCACCAGCTGGCTCCGACTGGTCGTCCCGGACGCCTTGTCCGCTGTCCGTTCGCCCCTCGCTTGTGTCGCCTGGCTCGTCGCTATGCTCCTGAGGCTGTGCGCTGTAACGCTCCTCCTGTGCCCCGGCGGGCTCCAAGCCGCTGTCCTCGTGGTCCATCTGGTAGTCTTCGTCGTCGTAGTCCTGTTCCTGTTCATCGCTGTACGCCTCGTCATCGTCATCGAACCGCTCCGTGTGCTGCGGTGGACGGCTGTCCGGCGGCGGCGCGGCGGCGGCAGCGGCCGGCCCGGACCTGGTGACGTTCACGCCCGGCGGCAGGCGCAGCCCGGCCAGCTGCGGGTCGCGGCCCGGCGCCGCCGCCTCGGCCGGCCGCTGCGGCTCCTGCGGCGCCTCCTCCGCGTCCTCACCCTCTGAGTACACATCCATAGGCTCGGCGGCGGAGTCGGCCGCTGGCGAGGTGACGGCCAGCACGGGCTCGGCGTCCGACGGCTCGTCGTCGTCGCCGGCGTCACCCATCCAGCCGACGCTGCCGCTCTCTGCCTGCTGGGCGGCCGGCGCCGGCCGCGTCTCGGCCGCCTCCTGCTGCCGACACAGCGCCATCGCCTGCTGCAGCGTCAGCCGGGCCGGCGCAGTCGAGACAGGCTCGGCCGTGCCGGCCGCCGCCCCCCTCATCTTCGTAGTAATCTTCCTCTTCTTCTTCATCCAACTCGTCGTAATACTCGTCGGCGTACTGCTGCTGTTGCTGTTCCTGCAGCTGCTGTTGTGCTTGCAGCTGCTGTTGCTGTTGCACCTGGCGCTGCTGTTGTTGCTGCTGCTTTAGACGCCACAGCTGTTGTTGCTGCTGTAGACGCTGTTGCTGTTGCAGCTGTTGTTCACGTTGCTGCTGTTGCAGACGTTGTTGTTGCTGTAACTGCTGTTGTTGCTGCAAACGCTGCTGTTGCTGTTGCTGTTGCTGTTGCAGGCGCCACTGTTCCTGCTGTTGCTGCTGGTGTCGCCGCCGCGCCGGCTCTGGCTCCTGACGGACGGCGCTGACGGCGGCCGGCAGCTTGACGGGCGCCGTGTCGCCTCCCACCGCAGCGCGGATCCACGGCGGCAGGCTGGGCTGCGACGGCGGCGGCGGCGTGGGGCTCGGCTCCTGCTGCTGCCTCAGGATCCGCAGCGCCTCGTCACGCGAGATCACGCGCGGCTGGCCGGACGAGTCCATTCTAAAACACAGTTGTTGGACAAAGCTGTAGGGTCACGAACTGTAGAATCAACAGTTGTCGGATAAACAGTGTAAAGATATCCAACCTCACAGGTTCCACGTCATTCCTATGACAGCTAAAACTTCTTCCCACAAGAATGTTACAACACTCCCTCTAATGCTACATCTTATGAGTGACATTACCGCTACATCACAAAATTCTGGATTATGATGTGCGACATTTATTCTGTTGTCAACGCCTATTCGCGACATTAGAGCTAAGCGACACAACAAAACTTCTGGATTATTATGTGCGACATTTCTTTTGCTGCCAACGCCTACCGGCGACATTAACGTTAGGCCACAAAACTATCAGCTCAAAAATGATAACTGCCAGTACTTCTATCAATTGTTGGAACCTCAGCAAAATTATGTAGGAACCTCATGAATGGGAGCAATACGACAAACGAAATCAGGCCAGAGGTGATCGCCCCATCGAATCCCACGCTAAAGCCTCGAAATACAGATAGGGTTGCACCCCAACCCATAGGCGAGTTCTGGGGCCCCTCCTGATGTGTAAAAGTTCCAAAATCCCACCATTTTATTCCTTCTCCTGAGTTTTTGAGAAATGTCAGATGTAGGTTGTTGAGAAATACAGTTAGGAAATATTACTGATCAGAACATAAGACTACCGTATTTAGGGGACGTAACAAGATATGGCAAACAAGGTACAGAATGGAGAGGAGAGCATGGATAAGAACAGGACAGGGGAGAACAGGACAAGGGAGGACAGGACAGGACAGGACAGGACAGGACAGGACAGGACAGGACAGGACAGGACAGGACAGGACAGGACAGGACAGGACAGGACAGGACCACTCTGAAGACCACTCTGAAAAGGACAGGGAATGCATAAGGACAGGTCAGAGCCAGGCATACCAAGACAAGTCTTCAGGCAAGACAGGACAGGCAGCCTTAGCCGATTTCGTCCTGGCTTTTGCCAGTCCCGACCACATCCTCCACTTCCTGTTTCGCCCCAAGAAATCTCCATCTTGTCGCATTATCTGTTATGCATTGCACTCTATCCTGCATTGCTTGTTGCCCTAACTGTGTCCACTGTCCCGTGTTCCATCCACGTCCACGTCCACGTCCACGTCCACGTCCACCGTCCACTCTGCTCTGTCCTCTGCCCTGCGCTATTTCCTGTCCTGTCCCATCCTGCCCTGCCTTGCCTTGTGTTGCCATCTGCCTACCCTTCAGTCAAGCAGGGAGTAGGGAGCTCTGTCTCATCCTCTGCTCTGCCTCTTTCCAGCCCTGCCCTGACCTTGTCTCCTTGTCCTTGTCCTTGTCCTTGTCTTGACCCTGTCTCCTGTCCCGTCTTCTGTGCTACCCGGTTTTTGTTTTAAAGAGAACTGTTCTGTGAAGTTATATCCAGTCCTGTCATCAACACTAAATGGCATGATCCCTCTCCTAATACCCTGCACCTAGTCATGTTGCATGTTAGGTCAGAAAATGCCACTTTACCATGCTATTGCAAGGCTTAGTCAGGCTGACAGTGATTGTGTCAGCAGCCATGCAATCCATTTTATCTCTCTTCTGGATGATCCAACTACCATCAAAATTTGTGTGCTAAAACTGAAAAAAATGCCTAATGCATATAACAAATGAACCTACATGCTTCTATACTCCACAACATGTGCCAAGGAGCTCTGACCTTGGCAGATTCCTTACATTATCAATAGATATTGCAGCACATCAGGTTGTCATGAACATCATACCATCAGATATATAACACCACCCTCACTACAACAATGTGATATCATCACTGTACACCAAACCTCCATCACCAAGCCAGGAGGTGACTGAACATGGCCATGAAATTGGGCAAAATCAAAGGCTGCCCCAGTGCAGCCATGGAGAGCAATGCATATCCCACATAGGGGTGAAAGCAAGAATTGCTGGTTGGGGGAGGAGAATCCCAACTGGACAACCCTGCAATTAAAAGTTCATAATGACTACAAACATGATTTCTAATTCATTCACATTATTTTGCTGTTTTTTCATGTTTCACATCACATTTATCATGCTATCTGCTCAGTTTGCTCATCCCACAGCACAGAAAGTACCTTGCTGGTGCATAGTAATTATAACTTCTTAATCTACATCATGATGACAAGGGTTAGTGAAGATACTTCAGTTTATGGGTCATGAGTCAGAGTCATGCACACAATTTAAGGAAAAAACTGTGGCAAAACATACAACATGATGGTATTCCTTTGGCCCACAAATTTAAAGTTTATGTATGAGTGGTAATACCACACAAAACCACTTATGGTAGAGTGCTTTCTAGGCTGCTTGGTACGTGCACGCGCACGCGCACGCGCACACGCACGCACGCACGCACGCACGCACGCACGCACACACACACACACACATGCAGAGGTCCAGGTGTTTTTGTTAAAACTGTTGTGGCGCACATTATTTCTGGATGTTCAACTTCTTATCACACTTCTAATGCTGGTACAACTGCTGTCTAAAAATATGACAGTGTTGCAACACATTCACATTGTCCTGAATACCTTCAAGTGTCAAAATCACACTTATTTGGATTATAATTCAGTGTCAGACTGCACTTTGCTTGATTCAACACCAAGGTAACAATCAACCATAGCAATTTGTTCAAATCAACAATGATTTCTGCCACTGTTTCAAAGGTATGTTTCATGCAGACATAATTCAAGCCACACCTGTTGTATTAACATGCACTCTGGAAGGGAGTCAAGTTTGACCCCCTGAGGTCCTCCAGAAATGGTTTCTGAACAGTGCAGAGAAGCCACCCCAAAGTTTGCATAGCTACAAACAATGGAGTAGTACATCATTTGTACCAAAAATTTAGATGCACCTTGTAAGGTAACTAACCTACACAATTCAACATCTTGTTTTTAGGAACATACTGCCTGGCATAACTTTTGCCACTTATTCAAATGCAAAACTCAAAACAGTCTTTGGTCACTATCATATTCAGAAGATCAAGCAAGGCCACTGACCTTGTTTGAGATGACTCAATTCAGAGAAACTGAGTCAAGAACAGGTCCATTGGCCCTGGCAAAAACAAATTTTTGGCCACTGAAATGGTAACCCTAATATATTGTGGGTGATGAGTTAAGAGGAGAGCTGCATTACAGGCGATTTATCTCACAAAACATTCCCTGCAGTATTCCCAACAATTTCATCTGTTTCTCAATGTCAATGTGATCAATCATGATCAAAACATTTTGACAACTTCCTGAAGACCATCTCATGACAATTTAATCTTCTTATATCTGGCTTAGGCTTGGTTGTTGCTTTTAAGCAGCCACCTAGCAGGTGGTACAAGACAATTATGCCTTAAAACAAGAAAGGGCAGCCAACAAATCTTGTAAAAAAGACTAATCATGCTTCCTACAGAGATAAAAATTATAATTTCAGAAACAGAGCATTGATACCCTAACACAAACATACCAAACACTGAAAACACTAAAGAAACACCAAACAACAATGGGCAACATGATGTGCTAGGCATATGCAGGACTTTGCTAAGTCCAAAGAAGAGCTGATCTGACTCAGTTTGGCTGTCAATGAAGCACACCTGGTAAAAACCAAATACTTGATGTAATGTCATTAAGGCCAAAAACCTACAAACATCACCACCTGCATCTGGCTCACTGCTTCATCATCATGATCATGATAACATGACTGACTGCAGCTGAGCTGATGCATCCAGCAGCCATGCCTGAAGGTCTGCTAAGTGGGGATCACAGCTGCATTCCCCCAAATGGAAACTCCTGGCAACAGCTGCCAGACTGTTTTGACAGTCCTACTATCCCCATTGAAATAATTTCTTACCCCAGACCATGAGATAGATACCAAAACTAATAATGTTTACTGTTTATGACATTTATAGCAAACTGCACCAAAGGAAAGCCATGAACTAACAGAAAGCTGTACAAAAAGCATGCTACACTAGAAAATCAACCAATTTCCTCACACAGTCTCCCGATGTGCTAACAGGCCCAGTATGTACAGTCAGGTATACTTGAATGCTTGCTTGCTGCACTTCAAGAAAGTGTTTTACATTTACATGGCATTATGAACTGAAAACAACATTTAGAAGACAGTTAAGTGCAGTTCACAGCCCTGCCCTTCTTAAGACCTAAGCCCCTCCATTTTCCCACCCACATGCCCCCCGAAGATGCACCCATTAATTCGGGGAGGCTATTTCAAGGTCATCCACCCGTCTGTAGCACTATAATGACATCAATAAAATCCTGTCATTCCATGGGCCATGCAGCAGTCAGGGCCAAGAAAAATTGAAATATCGATTTATTCATATCTGATACTAAGGAGCACAATTTTCAGATATAGCAGATACCAATTGGCTCCCAATCAATGTTGTGTGCAGTGCAACGACATAATGAGATGTTGAGGAACATGTAAACTTAACAGAATAATTGTGTTGTCCAGTGCATTATTTTCTACACAAACTTGGGCCAATTATTACAAATAAGCTCATTTCATCATATTTGATGCATAAACATTTTCAAATACAGAATATTCCATTTAAAACAGGGATGAAATATAGCACAATTAGGCTAATTTAAAAGTCACCTGTGCTCACTATCCACATTTGCACTAAGACAAGCATCACATATGAGCACACACAATTTTATATATACTATGCATGGCCTTGATAACTTAGCATACTGAGCCTGGGATACACCACTAATTCTGCACAAAGGCTTGACTAGGCAATCAACATTACAGTTTCAAAAATACAGGTATACACATTCACCATCCATGCATTGATAAAGTGATTTAGTTTGAAGGTATACTTGTGACAATACATGTGCAGCATCAACATAAGATGGTCAACATAAGAACAGTGGGGCACAGCAATCCAGTTGAGTGATATATTCACATTGTCAACAATTTGATTTAATGGGGATGCATTGACCAAGTAACCCTGGCACTGCCAAAGCTGCAACAATGGAGTTAGCAGTATAATGTTTTGCAGGAAAGCTACACTAAACTTTCAGTGGTAATTACAAACTACATCAATGAAGCTAAATTTGTTCCAACCCAAACACATGCAATTCATTGATTCTCTCACTATATTAAGGAATATTGCTGACAGAGCATCGCAGCAAATATTTTCGCTGGCTTCCAAATGCATCATGGCATATTAAAGTTGCATATAGCAGGCTATACTTTTTAAGAAAAAGGACTGCTACACCTTATTGCAAGGACCCGCAAGGCATATTTGCACAGCTACAAACATCCAACGACATTTTCTCAGCTTTCCGCCACGAGAGGAGATTCTCACCTTCAGTTCATCTTGCATGCATCAGTACCCCTATGATCAGCAAGCGACAAATGCCCAAATAATATGCCTAGAACAATATTCCAGAACCGCTGGCAGTTTACGAAAGCCGCAAAAAGAGGTTAACGATCAGTGACGCAGAAATGCGCCGTGACTGTCTCCTCATACCCAGTTTCTTTTAATTTGTTGAGTGCTCTCAGTGATATTGAAATTAATCGCTCAAATACCCGTATCTCTTGCATTTAAAATAATAAATTTTGACTTTTTGGTTTAATCAAGCATAGTCTTTATAAGTATTTTCTAGAAAAATAGCTGCTACCATAGTTTTTGGAGCTCTTGTAATGACGTCGTAGTTTGTTGACGTTTTCTGTACCAGCACCAAAACAAAGCGCCAGCCAATCTGCGGGACGGGGCGCTCGCGGAGTGTGGTGCTGGTAGATGGGATAAGGGATTCGCTTGTTAGAACATTGCTGATGAAGCAAATAGGAAGGGTGAATTAGGTGACCGGTGTGATTACAGAAAATCTCGGCTGCGATTGTGGCCTCTCACATTGTTTGGGCATCCAGACTGTTCTGCTCGTCCTGCAACAGTTTGGTTTCACTGAATAGGCTTGTACATAACAGTATAGATAACCAACAATGAGTTCGACACCCCCGAAAAATCCAGAGGAGGCTCTTGGAGGTAAGACTTTCTTGAACAGGGTGTATATGCTCAATGCCTGTGCTTTGGAAGGTCTGGTATTTGGGAATATTTGGTGACAAGCTTTTGGGCTGCAGGCAGGCTGGTCATCTAAGGTTGATACCTACTTCCATTGTTCATAGAAAGGGAAGTATCAGTCCTTGCTTTGGAGACCAGTTATTTGCTGCAGATAAGTGATGCACTTTGCCCATATATGCAAGTAGGTACAGTATGTTGGGTGAGCTTATTATCTTCATATTTGCTTGCTATTTATTTGTTTTGACAGGTTGTGAACATGTAGCTGCTCAAGGAAACCATGATGATGCAGTGTTGTTACTATATATCAAGGGTACATGTGGTTTTATCATGTTCCATATGGCTTTCCAAGCACCTTCCAGATGACTTTCCAGTCTATGATGCATGGTACATACTACATGGTGTCAGCCTTTGAGATGGACTGAATGTCCCTTCATTGTTTTCTGAAGCTTTTTTAACAAATTTAGCTGCTGGTGACATGTTGTCATGTAGTTCGTTATCATGTAGTTTGCATATCATATTAATGTGTGTTATATCTCAAGAGTACTTAACTTGCATAGAAAACTTAATATGGTTACTGAGTTATTTTGTTGTATGTGAGATGTTTGACATGCACCCTTGTTAGCTGGTTGTAAGGACATTTGCAAATATCACAGATTTAATGATGCATAAAATTGTCTCCTAAGTCTATGTTTTAATCTATTTCAATGGAAACTTGTGCAGAAGCATGTACAAAATGATGTTTAAATCTGCTTGCAACAGCCAGGAGGATATTTATTTGTGTTGGTTCTGATATCATATTGCAATGATCATGACTGTAGCTCCTCATGCTGCTCATTCATAGAGCCTAGCTAGGCCAGTCCATGTCTGTGCAGTTGCACCCTTCACTGACTGCCTATGGTGATGGTTGGTGCAGAGTCATGGGTGGACCTGACCTATCAGACGTCGTCGCCGCGGCGGGCCACGCCGCTGCCCCTGGGTGGCGAGGAGTACCTGCGCCTGCTGCGCGAGGCACAGCGTGAGAGCAACAACACATCAGCCCGCGGCTCGCTGGCCTCGTCCCGACGTGACTCGCCCAAGGACTGCATCTCGTGAGTGTCCATAGCCCGCCACCTGGGAATGCCACTGGCTCGCGCTGGCGGCTAGTGAGGGGAGCGCGCAGCAGCTCGCCCCCACGTGTCGCGAGGCCGAGGAGCTAACTGAGAAATCCTTGAGCACAGTTGATCGTCCTGCTTATTGTACATATCTGCTCTTTTTTCGAAACCTGTCCTCATTCTTGGTTCGCTTGGTATGTAAAATCGTGCCTGACTTCTCCAAAAGTTGACGAGAAGGCGTCTGTGGTCCAGTCGTCGCCTATGCTACCGTCGGTGGGGAGTCCGCTGTGCGTGGTCCCGCCATGGTCGGCCAGCGGCCGGTACCCGCCGTCGGTCGCTGATCGCCCCGGCCAACGATCTGGGCGGCGGGACAGCGCCTGCCAGGATCGGTGATTAGACCCGAGTTTTTGCCGTCCGTGGGCTCGGCAGCGGCCGCCGCGGACCTGGCAGCCATCGCTGCCCCGCTGTCTGGCCGCCTCCCGCCGGCACCGGGCTTTTTGTCGGGCGCGGGACCGGCCGTAGCTTTGAATTATTGCTCTCGACAGTACCATAACTGCCAATCGGACTCCGTACCGCACGCCGTCCGCTGAAGCAAGCTCTGTCCGCGCCGGCCGAATCGTGGCCATCGGTACCTGCCTGCCGGTGTCGATGCATCGACATCGATGGGGCGGTAGCCCACAAACACCGACACCCTGTCGCTCCGCGGCCGGCCAATGGGCGTCGGCCTGTATCTGGCGCCGGCGGGAAGCTGCTGCCGTCCATCAGCGCGCAGCGACTCCCGCCGGCTCGCCAGGCTGCCGCCACCGCACGCCCGCCACCTAAGTCGAGCTCGTGTAACCGGACACAGACCGTGACAAACACGGTGTCGTACAAAAACAGACACCAACGGAAAATACGCCCACTGTCACGGCACATACCGACCACGACAGCCAACCGCTCCACGGTGCTGAGCAGAACCCACGGCTTATTGGTCACGTCACGTGCCGCCTTTATTTGGTTGTGACGGAGCTCGCGTTTTTGTGGCCATTTTAGCAATGGTCGTCGGCTATATTTACCTCCACGCCGATTATCCCGGGGCACATGGTATCCCAGTATTTAACTGTATCAGCAAATATGTTCTTGTGGTGCCTTGCGTTCGTCGTAATGTACTTGCGCGAAAGGAGCGGGCTGGTTTCAGTTTTCAGAATGGCTGGCCTGTCCCGAACGTGCTTCGCTGTGCGAACTGACTGCATTGTTTCGGCACGCGGGCGGGTGATCGCCGCCTGGCGCACTGGTGCGGGGCAGTTGGTCAGCACGAATAACGATGCATTCGTAGCACGCCTGGGATGCGACCGGAAAGTATCCCGTGGAAATGTGCGGGCGGACGTGGTGAGGCGGCCGTGAGCACCTGTGGGTGTCAGCTGCTGTGAGATCGATAATGACGAGCCCAGTGCAGCGGTGCGGCTGGTGGAGCCGCCTCGGGGCGGTCAAGGGATCACGGTGCGCTCTGCGTCGTGCCGCCGTCGCCAGTGACGCTGAATAGCTTGTACAAGTCACACCCGGACCCGTGCTGGATTGGGCGAGATGGGATTGGCAACAAGTAATTGGGTGGAGTCGGGTACGTAGCTGACTGCAGCCTCGAACGCGCTGGCTCCGCGGGAATGTCCTCGGGTCCCCGGAACAGTTCGGCTGTGGCCGGCCTCGGCGATCACGTGACTTCGCCGGACGTCGAAGCGGATTACAGGCCGCTCAGCTGACCGCATCAGAGCGTACTGAACACCGGGACATACCCACGAACTCAGTCCTGTTCCGGGTCTTCATACCGAACGGGAGGATTCAGCTGGCACGGTCGATGCGATGAGCAGAGGACTGGCAGGCTAAATGGCATTGAATCGAGGATTAACAAGCAGGCGTGAGGGGTCTGAATCAGCTGTGGGCAAGGAGCGCCTCTAGTTGTTCTACGATTTCTTTTTGCCATGACAATGGATTGCTGGAAACCAGCGCCCACCTTTCCAATACTAAGCTCCTGAATCATTGCCCGGCTGCACCAGGCACTGGGCGATCACTGCGACCGACCGCGCCATCAGCTACGTCATGGCAGAAGAAGGCGTTCGACTATCGACCTGACCGAAACCCTGCCATGCTATGTCAAGGCAGAAGAAGGCGTTCCACTGTCGACCTGACCGAGATCCTGCCATGCTATGTCACGGCAGGGCCGGTGTGAAACGGACCCGTTGCACTCGGCTACCGGATGCGACCGCTCGTGCGGTGCTGGGCCGACTCGCCATCGGAGCCATCGGTCAGAGGGTGTCAGGCTTTCCTGCCGAGGCCGCCCGTCTGGGTCCGTTCAGCGCGGCGGCTCAGTCCGCCCGCTAACCAGTCATGCCCGCCCTCGTGGCGTCACCGCCGGCCCCGGGCCGCCCGGCGGCGTTTACAAACATACCGCGACAGCGCCGCCGCTGCCGGGGCCGCGGCGCGGCGGGCGTGCCTGCGAGCACGCCCCGGCGTGCCCGCCGGCACGGCGCGGCATGCGGCGACCTCGCCGCGCGCCGCTGCTGCCGGTCGTTCACACCGGGCGGCCGCCGCGCAGTACGCGCCGGCGCGGCCGACGGACCCGTTCGAGCGTTCGGTGGCGCCGCTTCTGCGCAGTTGCGGACGGCGTCCGGCGCGTCCGGGACCGGGACCGGGGCCGGGGCCGGCAGCTGACTGGGCTGGGGGAGGGGTCGCCACCGGCGCTGCGTCTGACAGCGGGCCGCCGACCGGTCGCCGCCGCGCAGCGACGGGTGCGGCTCGCAGCCGCTCCCCCCCCCCCCCCTCCCGCGCCGCTCTCGCTCCGTCAGCTGACCTCCAGCCGGCCGGCCACGCGGCCTCGGGCCGGGCCATGGGGCCGGGGCGCGGCCACGCGCCGTAACCCGCCGCGCGTCGTACGTCGCCGGCTGGCGCACGGTCCCCCGCCCGCCGTCACGCTCAAGGTCGCCCGGACAGAATGTAAACACAGCACGCCGGTACCGTCTCCGTGCCCCTGCGGTCACGGCCGGGTCGGGTCACGGGCTGGGGGCGACGGGGCTGGCTGCTGGTGTGGTAACAAAGGCTTTCTCTGCTGGGATTTGCATACAGTCCTCGTGAATGTTCACGGGTGCTCCTCCAGGATGGCGTGGCTTGAATATGGTGAATATCGATGGACTCTGCAACGGAAGTAGTGACTTGTCTTTGTGTTATCTTTAAGTTGGCGGTGAAACTGCCCGTGAATCATCGGCGGTGTTGACAGTGGTTTCCTTTTAGTTCAAGAGCGTTCGAAATTCTTTGTAGTTTCGCGCCTCTAACGCCTGCAGTCGGGATGCAAAAAGGCACTCGAGCAGGCGCCGCAAGTTTGCGAAGTGTTTACGTCGTCCATATGCAGCACGCACGCAACGTCCCCTCCACCACCAAGCATGCAGGCTCAAACCGTCGACGAAGCACTCAAGCATAAGACGACCGAGCTGCGCCGAACCATCCCAGCAGGCCGGCTATCGACTCCGGACGATGTGATGTTCTCGTCTACCGTTCTTTGCTGTGCCCTTGCCAGGGTCGTCTCGCACGTTCCCCTCCGTTGCGAGTGGCGGTGCTGTACCCTGGAGTTCAGCCCTTGAGCCGGAGCTGTGTATAGTCCTTGTGCCCGCCCGGGTCCAGATCTGCTGTACCGTGTCGAATTCCTAGTTTGTGTGTTTGTGAATGGTTAAGGTTTGGTGCAGTACACGTGTCCAAATCCAAGTCTGTTTGCGTACTTCTGACCAGGTCCGGGTCGGCGTGCCTGTGGAAGGCCGGGTCCGGATGCAGCTCCAGTGTTGTGCCTGCCCGTCCCCGAGAGAGCGGAAGCTGCTCGAACTTGAACCCTTGCCAGCTCTCGTACGATTTGCTTTGGCAGGGTTTTTGGTCTGAGTCGTGACGTCCTGGCGGTCTTGGCTCTGGCCATCTGGCTTCTTCGGTCTTCGGTCGTCGATCGGTCTGTTCGGTCTGGCATGTTGCTATTACAGCCAGTGCTGACGACTGAAGTTTTTTTTTGTTTCTTGTGTTGCCTGGCAACGCCTTGTTTGCGTTTGCCTAGCCAGCTGTTGCCGGCTGAAGTGTTTCCTTCATGATGGTCTGCATCGCAAGCCAAGTTTGAAACGGCACACGTCATGTGCTGTTTTAGCCTGACAGCACGAATGTGAGGATGGATGGTGCGACTGCGGGCGGCGTGCGGCACGGCCTGAGGTCAGCCCCGCCGAGAGGTCACCCACACGCCCTCTTGGAGCGCACGTCGGTGTAGTGGTCCGGGCACGGGCGGCGACAGGGGATCAGTGCCAGTCACGCATCTCGTCTGTGTACGACGCGATATCGGACGCCGGCGACCGGTCGGCGGATGCCACCTGTCTGTGGCTGCCACGGCTGCGTCTTGTGTCCCCCAATAATCGGGGTTCTCCAGATAAACCCCTTGTAGTTACACCGAATACAGGTAGTATGTATCAATGTGACAGAATAACTTGAAGCTTCAGTGCAGTACCGATAGCAAGATTTCCTGAAATAATTACCAGGACGTCAGATGTATGTCTTGTTAAACGGATGTGACGATAGAGGCAAAGCATTAGCATTTGCTGCCGTGGACAATAACGTACTGGTTGATAGTTTCAAAGAATTCGCATACCATATGAATATGTCAGATGGACTGGTTGGGAGTGCGAAAGCCGGTCACGAATACAGTTCGGCCCATTGGAATAATGTATGGATGAGTAAGTATAGGATTCCCTGATTCCCATTGCACATTCGCATTTGTTTGCACACATTGACGGCTCAACAGTTCATCATTGTTAATTCTGGAGACTGGGCTTCCGATAAACCTTATCCGTGCCGTGTTGCCAAAGCTCATATCGCTTCGCCACACGGTGGTGCTATATGAAATATTGACCTGCCAACCTCGATAGCACAGGCTGCATGAACTGACTGCCAGGCAGGCTTATTGCAAACACTGATTCGAATATCCCCGGCAGCGAATCACTTGT